GGAATGTGTTTTTTCATTCCCGCTCCTCTTAAAGACACTAGGCTTGTAGCCACTTTGTTTTCATTTTTTGCCTACTTCACACCTGTTGATTTTTAAAATCCGCCTCCACAGCAGCTTCATGCTTCCTGCTGAAGAAATGCACGCACACAGGATGATGCTGCCACCAATACGTTTCAATACGTTTCACTGCGAGGATAGTCAGTTCGAAGTCAAGCGAGGTGTTAGCTTTATATCATTTTGAAAATACACAACAATTCTGGCCTCATCTGAGCACTTTTCAGATTTTAATCATTTTAAAATCATGTCACTTCCATTATCTGATTCTGCATCGCTTTGTGTTGGTCCACTACACTAAATCCCAGGCTAACAGGGTGTTATTACTTTTGGCAAGGGACTGCATAAGTATGCAAGAGGCACATTGGGTGTTGATAGAAGGCGCAAATTAATCAAAGACAGAAGTGAGCAATAGGATCTAATAGAAAATGCAGCAGGAGCCACATCTTTTAGTGGCTGTTGGTGCTTTACACCACTGCGGCAGTGTTCAGGGGTGTGTTTTCTGCAAGAAGCAGGACACAGAGAGACATCCAAAATACACCTTGTCATCGGCCGCAGTCTGTCACAGAGAGGGGAAGTGAGCAGCTGTCATTTTTGTCTGTTGAACACTGGAAGTGGAGCAAGTGCCCTCTCCCAGCGACGGAAAATGTGTCCCACATGCCAACGACAATCTGTGCGAATCGCCGACGATGTGCAGATAAGCACCACTGCACACAAAAACGCTGCACAAAAAGGGTCATTGTCATATATTTGCATACACCCAAGAAAAATCCTTATGGGTGAGGATGCCTCTTCCTGGACTTCTTGTGACTTAACAGCTGACACCGCATAGACTTTGCTTCTATCAAACCGGCTCAACGTAGACAAACATATGTATATGTACAACCTGTGGTGCTCTGTGGGAACTGTAGGTGGAGTCAAAGCACAAAGAATCCCCACTTTTAAAAATGATAAAAAGGACCCCTTTTTTTCCCACCAACAACAGAAAAAAAAAAAAACCCTTGTTTGGCCAAAACAATTAAAAAATTTAGCAAAAAAAAAAAAAAAAGAGACTAGGAGAATTGCCATTCCTTAGCCGACACTAGGCCGACCGCTGCAAATGAAACCGTAAGATGGGACGGAGAGATGCAGCCGCATTTCCCCAGACGGCACAAACGTAGGACGGTCAAACCTGAGCAATCTGAGTCCTCCTGTTGGTTTGTGTCTGTATGGAGTGCTGAGACCTTCACGCATGAATCCTTCAGCCTCATCACAAAGGCTACAACGCAGCATAATAAATCAATATTGGCCAAAAAAGTTAAAAACATAAGTTGCATGTTGATTATCTTAAATCTCTCATTCTGATGCTGCTATTGTTGTTTTCTAAAATTGTTTTCCCTCGTTCTAAGAAAGGACGGACCATCTTTATATTCCCTCGACTGTTTAACCGCTCTAAAAAAAAAAACGGCCCATGATGTCACCGTTTTCCCCTCTAGCGCGCCACCTCTCAGCCTCTGTTCATAATCATTTACTTGTCTTCCTTCCATTTGCAGCTGTCAGAATTAAACTGTACATAATGGCTGCCATCAAGCCTCCTGGTTCGCGGCTGCTGCTAACCCCAAATCAACATTCCTGCTTCTTAGTAATGCTCGCAGCGATTGTCAGGCCAAATTGTTTGTTTTGAAAATGCTAAATCAAACCACCCAACGCAAAAGAAATAGCACCTGATTGCCCTCCGACGTTCCCTTTGTTGATTTGAATTAAATTCGAAGTGGGACAAGAGTGGGAATTTGCAGACGTGTAGTTTTCATACGCTGCTGCCGTCACTCTCCGTGTTTAAGGGAGTTCATTTCACATCGCACGATGTTAAACAGAGGTTATCTGCTGACTTTATTTTTTTGAGCTACTGCACAAACCCGGTGGGATCTGAGTAACAAACACACTCTCTCCAGCAAGTTCCTAATGGTATGGCTGATTAGTGAAGGCACCCCCTCTTTTAAAGGCAGCAGGCTGTGTGTTCAGTCAGGGGAAGCCGTTATTGACAGCTATTGAATGATCTACAGTTGTAAGGGTGGGAAAAGCAGGATGTCTAAATGAAGTAGACACGCTGATCAATGCTGTTTAAGACGGAAAGAAACCAGCATCCTGTTTTTGGTACCAAGTGTCGCTGCAGAAATCTGTCTGTCGTGACAGGATGTGCACAGACAGCATGGTTTACTGGAGTAAATATAAATGCACCTAATCTCTGTTTAAACAGCTGCGCTTACTTCTAAGCCACTAAGGTAGAAGTAAAATTTTGACAGTAATTATAGCGCCTTGCATCCTTTGCAACCAAAAACGTCAATGTTTTTTTTTTTTTTCTTCTTTTTAATCTTGATTTGATGTATTAGACCAGCATTAAGTAAATTCAGGGAGAAAATAGATAAAGAGTTGAAGGTTTATCGAACAAATCCCAATCCTCAACACGAACATGGAGTCAACACGATGGTGGCAGTAACATGCTGTGGGGACGGCTTTCTTCAGGATAAAGCTCGTCGTAGCTGATGTGAAAGTGGACAAAGCTACACACAGAGCAATCCTGGAAGAAAACCTGCTAGAGGCTGAACAAGAATCGAGAGTAGAGTGGAAGTTCACCTCCTAGCATTTTTCTTTCACTTCACAATTATGCACTACTTCGTGTTGGTCTATTACAACAAACTCTGACAAAACACGTCGACACTTGTGGTTGTATTGTCAAAACGTTTGAGCATTCTTGCAAATATTGACTCTAAAATATGGATACATCTGATATAAAAAGAATGATTACAAAGAAGACGATGGGAAAAGAAGTAGAATGGCTGACTTGTCTGATATTGTATTTCCTCAAAGCTTTAACCTTTACGGAGACAATCCACCAATACAGTGAAACAATGTGAATTAAATGATAAAATGATGCCAAATGATAAAAAACATATCTACCATATTTACTTGGAAAGACAGAAGCTACAATACTTTTGTCTTATGGTCAATTTGTAACATTTTTACAATCAAAGCTGTTCAAAGAATAAGTTTAGATCACATAGTATATTTTATTACGATAATTTTTTTCAAGGATTGGTTGCAATTTCATCAACCGAGCCAAATTAAAACGACAAAAAATATCTATTACTTTTAGAAATCTAATTATCTGGGAACATTTAGTACAAGACTTGCTCTGTTGTGGCTGAGTTTTACATTTTTATTATTTTTGCAAACCCCAAATTAAATTGCAGGTTATTCTTTTAAGCAAATTGCATTGTTTTAATGTACATGTCAAGCTAGGAATTAGTCTAAGCTACATGTCGTTGCTATTTGTGTTAAGGTTTTAGAGGACTACGTCTATGGGGAGAAGCAGAGCAGGAGAAGTTGAAGAGAGCAGCAGCCACACAGAACATGGACAGAGCGTTTACCTGGCCCTGTGCTCTGTGGGTACGCCAAGTAGCCGCCTCTTCCACGGGCCCCCCTACCTGAGCCACGCGCTGCTGCTACCGCCGCCGCCGCCACCGGTCCGTATGCCGTCGCTGGGAAGCCTGCGGGCACAAACACACACATACACACGCGTGCATCACTTCCTGCACATGGGATGAGCGACGGCACAACGTTGATGCCAACGCTGAGCCGTGGGATCAGGCTACACAGCCCTCAGAGCCGGGGGGGTTCATGTCGGGGCGACGGCTACCAGCAGACACCTGCGGAGTCCGGAGTGACACCCAGAGCCCTGGTGTGTGTGTGTGTGAAAACAGGAGGGGGTTTTAATGGATCACCTGCTCTAGAGGGGTTCTGGCACTCTTTGGACAGGGCTTCTGCAGGTTTCACCAACTCAAATTTAAGACATTTAAAGACCATTATGAAAGAAATTTAAGACCTGTGTAATGACAGAAATGTGCATTATAATCGCCTATGCATGTACATATAAACATATAATTATGAAAACATTAAATGCCATTCCTTTTGAATCATTTCCCTTATTTGTCATCATGGCTCCGTTCTCTATTGGTTCTGCACTCTCCTCCTTCTCAGCTGTATTTCCCTCGAGAGCAACAACTTTGCTGAAATAAAATTCTTCAGCAGGTAAGACAGGTGATTGACAAACTTTGTCCAGACAACTGCTGATAAATTCGCACTTAGCAATGATAGATGGAAAAGTTATCTATCTAGCTAGCAAGAGTATATTATCAGCTAGTTAGCAATAGCCTGAAAGATTTCTTCTTTTTTATACTTAAGTACTTACATTTTTTCTGTTGTCAAGCAATTCTTCAAATCACACAAGAATGACCTGAGCAAACCTAGAGGTTAAGAGAAGGGAGCTATCCAAACATGCTAAACATCATGTAGGCTAAAACACCTAAAAAAAATAAATTTAAGTCTGGGGGTTTTCAACGAACCACATGTAGAGGCATTATTCACAAACGGAGAAAAGTGGAAAAGTGACGAGAGCATCAATTATCAGCCTGGAAGTCATGAGAAACCAGAACAGGATCCAAACTACAGCACTCGCCTGAGTTAAGGTGAAGGTTCATGTTGAGATTGGTCACAAATACATCCAGTTCCATGCCACAGGAAACAGTAAAGTCTGTCTCACATTTAAAAAAAACAACAACAAAAAAATCCTAATGAACACCAGGAACTTTGGAGAATAATTTGTGAACTGATTGGGACAAATGTGGATTTTTCTTCACACTGAATCACACTGACACTGAACCACGGTGGTTGTATTGTGATGGTCAGAGCCTGAATTAGTGCTTCGGTACCTGGAAGACTTGCCATAATTGACAGCAGCAGGAGTTTTGCTCTCTTCCAGAAAATCCTGAAGAAGAATTTGCACCCATCAGTTTCTGACCTTATATTCACCTCTGGATGGCTGAAACCTCCACAAAAGATACGTTTTGGAGTTGCCTAGTCAAAGTCCAAAATAGAATCTGAGTGAAATGCTGAGTCAGAATCTTCAACAGTCTCCATGTTGGTTCTGCAAAGAAAAATGGGCCAAAATTCCTCCAGAGTGATGGAAAAGACTTATTGTCAGTTAGTTTCTCTTGATGACATTAAGTTCAGGTGGCAATAACTTTTAGTTTTGCATAGTTTGGTTTGAATTGCTTTCGTTCTAAATTCAAAGGAGTTATAACTTCCAAACAACTTTTTACATTTACACACTTCATCTTTGTTTGATATCAAAATCTGTTTTTGTAAAGGGGAAAATACCTATTTAATGTACTGTATTTCTTTATACATATATATATATATCTTTTCACGTTTCAGATTCAGCTACATTCCCCCCCTAAAAGGGCAAATTTATGCTGTGTAGCAGAAAAGTGTGAGCAAACTGACTTCAGTCCCTGATTACAGTTGTGTAATAATTTGACTCTGAGGCTGTTTATGTCACATTGTTCACATAAAAGTCTATAGACACTTCTGAGCTGCACAGACACGGCCATAATAGCCCCACCTCCGGGGACAATTGGTGAATTTTATTCCAAGCGCTCCCAATTATGGCGACTTTCAATGGATGCAGAATAATCCAGGGTAATTCATTCCACGTTTTTTTGCTTTCTGTTGAGGCTATTCGGGTGGACGATACGGAGAGCGCGAGAAAAAAACACTTCCTACAATCAGACGGAGGCATCTGTCGGATGATCCGTCACTCACATGTTTACATCTGCGAGCTTACGTTTCGATTGAACACCTCTCTCTTTTTTTCTGCCCCCGCTCCCCCCCCCAGGCTTTAAAGCGTGTTTATATTCCCGTTTACAAATCAGTCCCAAATTGTCGGTTTAAGACACACTTATGAAATAAGGTTTAATTTCTTGCAAATATAACTCCACTTTCTGAGGGTGTGATAATTTCAACAAATATCAGCCCAATAATCAGAGTGTAATTAAGCCGAAGCAGGATCTGTGAATTGTAATTACATCGTTGGCCCTAATGAACACAACTGCTAGAGGTGGCTGAGAGAGAGGCTAGTCCATGCCCAGGGCTCGCGCTCTTCTCTCAGCACAGGAATGGCATGTCATTAGCAGTGGTGATGAGATTCCTCACTCTGGGCTCAACACCGTCTATGCCTAATCAGAGATAAAATTATCTCCACAGGAGCTTCTTTTCCTCACTAGCAAAGAAAAAAAAAGATCTCCAAATTCCCACAGTTGGAGTTTTTCTACATAGTTTTTTTTTTTTTTGTTTCAAAGTTAAATGTGGAGGTTTCTTCTCCATGCCAGGATGCATTTCTGGTTGAAGGCCGGCGGTTTAGGCTTTTCTCGGAATGGTACCGGGTGCCTTTGAGGATACATTTTTTCGATTGCTGTGGAGGTGAGAGGAGCACCAGCAGGTGACCTATTTTCTGAGCCTGCTTTGTTCCGCCGCCTCTCGAAGAAGAGAGGCTTACGGAGAGAAAAAAAATAAAATAAAAAGACCAATGAGATGATGAGGGGCGGAGGGGGTGAGAGGGCAGGGTCAGATGAGCCGCAGCCAAAGAGAAAAACACGTAACTTTTCATCAGCCGGTCGAGAAGGAGGTAATTCACAACTCGGCGAACACAACGTGTCGGCGAGCGAGCGTGTTGGGTGTGAGGCGCTGTCATGCTGCGACCGGCGGGCAGGTGAAGAAGAAAAAGACACGGCGCTTTCCCTGCCGACTGTCTGACAGCTCGGGAGCAAATATGAAACTGGCGATGGCAGCAACGGAGTGGACGAAAGCCAAGAAGACGGCGACTGAAGTCAGTCGTCTTTGTGCTGCTGCTACTGCAGCCGAATCCAAAATCCCCCGCTCAAACGACGCCCGTTTTTAACTTTGTCACTGTACCAATATTGGCCACGCACCCTCACATCTGAACAACAGCATCCCCCAAGGTTGCTCTGCGGAGCGGCGCGCACCGACTCTCCACCCCCTCACCCCATCCTCCTTTTTTCCTAAGTGCTGAATCTATCTTCTCCTCGCCGCCATTGTCATGACACCCCCAATAGACCCAGTGGCTCGGAAGTTAGTTGCGGGCAAAGTTGTGGTGAGAGATTAACTTTGCAGGATTAGGTGGGTTAATTAATAGATGGCTGCTGCTCATTGTTTTGCGCTCGCGCTGTAAGAAGCCACCCAAGAGAAGCGCTGCAGCATTAAATCAATTTCATGGCCCTTTTATTACTGAGGAGATAAAGCCAATATTTAGCTTTCAATTCTTCACAATTATTGGGCCCCTGCTTTGCCATGAGTGGCTGCGCTTGGCTGGGGACAAGGACACATCTGTTTATGAGCTGCGGAGGCCCGGGGGCCTTGGTGTCCGGACTCCGGGGAACTGTCCTCAGCTCCCTCCCTTTCCCCCTCTCCGACCCCCCGCCCCCCCGTCCTGGAGCCTGCAGCACGCAAACTCAGAGCTTCCTCAGGAGTGCACACAGAAAGGAAGAAAGATTAGAGCGCAAAGAAAGACGAGGACGGTCAGGAAATTCCCAGACTGTCCCTTTTGAAGCAAATGAATTACAGTTTGTCCACAAAGACACCAATAAACTGATTCTTTCACAAAAAAGCTTTTTCTGTGGTCATGTAAACTGTGCCTTGCAATACCATTCAGAACACCTTAGCTTTTTTTACACGGCAACCACAAAACTTGTTCCAAGTGCTTGCTACATGTCAAGCAGGACTTTGATCGGATTTCCTGAAATATTCACCAACTTTTAAAATTCTTTCGTAAAGTCCACAATTGTGGATTGTACAGCTAACAGTTGTCCTGTCAACAGATTTCTCCTCCCAAGTTATCTTGGGTTCCCAGCCTGTTAAATCAGGTAGACGGCTATTGCTTTGGAATTTATAGTTTTTCTTAGACATGAGACATGAGATCACTGATCTGAGATATTTTTAACCTAAGTCTGCTTTAAATCTCCACAACATTCTCCTTGATCTGTCTGCTGCGTTCCTTCGTCTTCATGATAGTCTTTGTTCACCAATTTTATCTAAAAAAACCCCAACTCTGAGGCCTTTTTTTTTTAGTGTGAATAAACTACTGACTGGTAGACTCTAGTCTCCAAAAAGATGAAGGTAGTTGGTTACACCAGATTTTGTTCAAAAATATCAGAAAAAAAAGAAGCTGATTACAAACGTATGCCACTTGGAGAAAATGCCAAAAGCCGTGAGTATTTCTCCCTTATCACGTAAAATTCCAGTAAAATCTCTAACAGCTTGTGGTTGTAAAGTGACAAAGGTGAAAAAGTTCAAGACGTATGAATATTTTTACAAGGCACTATATCCTTTTCAAGGGTATAATAAATTTCCAGCTGCTTAAAAAACGGATTTCCATGTCAAAGCGCATAAGAGTCAATTTTCATGACGGCACATAAAACACACTGGCCCTTTAAGGCTGGAAAGTGGTATTTTTCTAAGGGGGTAAACCAGTTCTTTCTCCACCTGCACCTGTATTTTCTGAGTCTCTGTGAACCTGACTGTACTGAAGAAGGAGGAGAGACACAGTAGGGGCAATGTCAGTAATGATCAAACAGCACAGTGCAATTTTTGTGTCAAGGCTTCCCTGGATTTCTTCTTTTTTTTTTTTTCCTTG